AGTCCCCTTTCCCAGTCCCCAGTCCCCTTTCCCAGTCTCCAGTCCCCTTTCCCAGTCCTCAGTCCCCTTTCCCAGTCTCCAATCCCCCTTTCCCAGTCTCCAGTCCCCCTTTCCCAGTCTCCAGTCCCCTTTCCCAGTCTCCAGTCCCCTTTTCCCAATCTTCAATCCTCCTTTCCTGGGCTCTAGCCCTCACTACTGGCTTCCAGCCCCCCTTTCCCAGTCTCCAGCCCCCCCTGACATGCTCCCTGCTCCCACAGGTCCGCTGGATGATGTACTGGATCGTCTTCGCACTCTTCATGGCCACGGAGACCTTCACTGACCTCCTCATCTCCTGGTGAGCTGGGGAGGGGCCCTGAGGGGTGGAAGGAAGGTGTCCCCCCCCTCCTTGTCCCTGGGTGGATCCGACATGGGATCTCCAGGTTTGGGGGGAGCAGGATGTGCCCACGGTGTCCCCCTGTGCCCCAGGTTCCCGTTCTACTACGAGGTGAAGATGGCCTTTGTGCTCTGGCTGCTGTCCCCGTACACGCGGGGGGCCAGCCTGCTCTACCGCCGCTTCGTGCACCCCACGCTGGCCCGCAAGGAGAAGGTGAAGGCTCCTGGCATTTTGGGGGGGTCCCCTGTGCCCATCCTGGGCAGGGTCAGCCCCCTGAGCTGGGCTGGCAGTGCCCCAGCGAGGTGGCAATGCCCTGGGAGGTTGTGATGCCCTGGGAGGTGACAATGCCCTGGGAAGTGACAATACCCCAGGATGTGATGATGCCCAGGGACACGATGAGGCCAAGGAACATGGCAGTGCTCCAGGACCTGACAGTGCCCAGGGACATGGTGATGCCCTGGGAGGTGGCAATGCCCAGGGATACAGTGATGCCTGGGGACATGGTGATGGCCTGGAAGGTGGCAATACCTGGGGACACGGTGATACCTGGGGACATGGTGATGCCCTGGGAGGTGGCAATGCCCAGGGACACAGTGATGACCCAGGGAGATGGCAATGCCCCAGGAAGTGATGATGCCTTGCAACATGGTGATGTTCTGGGATGTGGTGATGCCCCATAGGGACATGATGATGCCCTGTGGGGTGACAATATATGGGGACATGGTGATGTCTTGGGAGGTGACAATGCCCCAGGACATGATGATGCCGAGGGACTTGGCATTACCCAGGGAGGTGACCATGCCTGGGCACACGGTGATGCCCTGGGACACGGTGATGCCCTGGGACACGGTGATGCCCTGGGACATGGTGGCCCCGGAACGTGGCAATGCCCCAGGATCTGACAATGCCCCAGGACGTGACCCTGTGCACCCCCAGCACCACCACGGTTGTCTCGGCAGGACATCGACACCTTCCTGGTCCGGACCCGGGAACGTGGCTACGAGACGATGCTGCACTTTGGCAAGAGGGGCCTCAACCTGGCGGCCACCGCCGCCGTCCAGGCGGCCACCAAGGTACCGGCACCGGGCAGGACCCTCTGTGCCAGAGGGGATCCCTCCCCGGGGTGAAACCCTGCTCAAGCAGGACGTTGTGGTGCAGATGGAGGGGTGTGACTCACTCCCTGCCCTCTGTGCCCCCCCAAAAACCCAGAGCCAGGGCGCCCTGGCCGGGCGGCTGCGCAGTTTCAGCATGCAGGACCTGCGCTGCATCCCCGACCAGGGCCCTGCGCCCTTCCCGGACCCGCTGTACCTGGAGGAGCAGAGCGGCCGCCGGCTGGGTGAGCTGGGGCAGGGGGGGCTCAGGGCAGTGTGGGGGGGCTCAACAAAGCCCCCGGGGGCCGTGCAGTGCCAGCCAGCAGCTGTGGTGTCCCCTTTGTCCCCGCTGTGCCCAGGCTGCGGCGCGGCTCCGCCCGCCCGGCGCTACGAGAGCGACACGGAGGATGATGATGATGAGGAGGAGCTGTGGTCGGACTCGGGGGTGACCCCACAGCCTTCCCCACGCCGGGATCCCAAACCCCTGTCCCGCAGCCAGAGCCTGCGCTCCCTGAGGAAGACCCCGGGAAAAGAGGTACCGTGGGAGGGGGACACGCTGTGGTTGGGGTCGGGGGTTGGGGCCAGGGGGGTCCTGACCCCATCTCTGCCCCTGCCCAGGGCTCTTCCCGGCTCCTGCGCAGCCGGATCAGGAGGAAAACGGCCCCCTCGGAGCAGGACAGCTAAAAATCCCAGGAAACCTCTGCCAAAGATCCCGGGAAACGCCTGCCAGGAGTCTTTACACAAGTTTGGGGGGGGGGGGTCAGCCCCCCCCATGCCTGCCTTCGGGGGGGGGGGGGAGGGTCCTGTATCCTTGGGGAGGGTTCCCTGCATCCTTGGAGTGGGGCCTTCCCCTGCCTGACACTGTAAATGCCTTCTGTGACCTCTGTGGTGCCTTGGGGAGGGGGCACCACCTCGCTGTCCCCCCACTCTGCTGCTCCCAGTGCCCCCTCCCAGACCCCCCCCAGCTCGGCGCCGGCGCCTCCCTCATGGGGTCTGACCCCCTCCTCCTTTTCTGCCACCCCACAAACACCACACACGCTCTGGGGTCCCCCCCCTCCTGCCACGGTGCCTTGTTCCCCACATTCCCTCTCTCCCAGCAGCCAGGGATGGGATGGGATGGGATGGGATGTGCCTTGTCCCCCCGAAGCCAAAGACTTCTGGGCTCCCCCCCCACCCCAGACACAGACTGACACCCCCACACTTGAACCTGG